TTTGAAACATGCCTGCAAGCCTTGCAAGCAGCATCACCTTAGCTGCACTGCCTGAGCTCAGCCTTGGTGTCCGCTAGCAGCCCGCATGGGCGAGGAGGAGGAGAAAGCACATGAGATGGATGTGAATGTGGCAGAGAACGGTCATCACTCTCCTAAGTGATGGGACCTGGAGAGACTCCTCACTGGGTATCGGCAAAAGAAGCATTGGCTTGTCCGTGCCATTTCTCCGGAAAGAGGACTGGCATTTCACAGCCTTACATTCTCATTTTGCTCACAGTTTTTACACTTCTGGTCACCATCAGCCTAGCAGAAGAGTAACTACTTCTTCTAGCCTGGATAACATTCCCCAAAAGAGTGGTTTGTCTCGTTAAAAAAAGATGTCTGCATTTCAGAAGTGGCTAATCAATCCTTCAATCCCCCTTTCCAGTATCTTCTCTGACAAGCTAAATGCTTGGCAGTCTTGAAAATTCAGATGCTTCCTTAAGTACGTTACTAAATTAATGTCAGAATACCAAAAACAATATCGCATAAATCCAAAGTGTTTAACTTTAGATCATCAAATCTCTAAGCCTTAAATAGAGACTTCACCATCACTATCAACACTGTGGCAAGAAGCTGACTATCTACATATAATTTACACTGATCTAACCTCTTCACCCTTTTGATTTGCTAAGAATTGAAATCAGCTATTTGGTTCAGGAACTGTGAATTTCATTTTAGCAATAATTAAAGTGAGGTATGTTTGATAGCCTAAAAGACTATAGCTACTAAATTCCATATAGGTTTAATAAAAGATCCTGTATATATCGGAGAAAGGCTATGTATGCCCATTACCACCCTCATTCCATGTTCTGTACTTATAAAATGAACTGCAATTTGGCTTTATTTTTAATATAGGTTCCATACATACACAATGTAAACTTTGAAAAAAACATCTGAGAAAGAGACTATCAATTTGAAGCGATGAATATATTGTGTGTTTCCTAATGGGAATTAATTCATTTGTGTGTGATTTATTGTTAATTTTAAAAAGATTTTTAATCTGTTAGGGGCTTTTATTGAAAAAAAAAATCAGAAAATATTTCACCATTAGCATTGTTATCACCACCTGTTCTCTTTTGGAACCTGATTCTGGGATCCAGTGGAGTGTGTAAATCGGCTGAATTCTGAATTGCAGGTAAAAGCCTCAGCTACAGCGAAGGCAGTCCACATTCTTCATTATAGCAGGGTGAATACAGCTGAGCTATAAAATACAGCTTGCCACATTATTATGTAATTTTAAAATGGCTATTAAAAAAGAAAAAAACAAAAGCTTCTAGTAACAGAATATCGATTTACATGAGACAACCTCTTCTGGAAACAATAAAGGTATCTATCTGTGCAGTTCCCCAGGATATGTTTTCATTCGGATCAAGACCAGTTTCAATTTAAGACATTTTACTCAAGTATAGATTCGAGAAAACAAAATATTGCACTATACACTCTCCATCAGGCTCTATCAAGGAAGCCTTTCATGCAGGCTGCTTCTACTCATGTCATCTGGCACAGAAAAGCACAGCAGGACTATTTGACCTTGTGAGAGCAAAGGCATTTTTGGAGATTGCAAGAAATCCATGGAAAGTATTTAAAAGGCAAAGAAATATATGTGTCCATGTGTATTCTTACATTCCAAAACGAAAACTTAATGCCTCAAAAATCTTAGTTTAACACCTATCTTCTCTAAAAGGTGGTGCAAGCAATTGAGTCAATGGTGAAATCGTTCTAACTTAGTTGCCTAACTTGCACATTTTTCTCACTGAAATTTTAGGCATCTGAAAACTCAGATATGATCCAGCTCATTGAATTCCCTGATATTAATAGAGGGAGAGAAAGAGCGGGGAGAAAGAGAGAGGGAGGGAAGGAAATGTTTTTTCGCTCTTCCAGTGCACGGCTCTTGCCCTGACACCACTAGAGAACCACCAGGTGGTACTGGCAGCTCCCGGAGGGCTCTTAGCCAAGCAGATGCACCTAATGGAGAGCAGGAGACATTATCATGGTGCCAGATGGGCCCTTCTCAGCAGACTGTTATAATACTAGTACTTTCCTATCCGCTTTCCTCTGGGCCACTTTATCCTTACATTTCTGGTTGCACAGTGAGCTAGGTTAAAGACAACTTTCTTAACCAGACTGTGAGCTGATTGTTAAAGCAGTGTCCAGATGGTCCTTAAAACAAGTAAGTTGTCACCTTGAACTTCCATGTCAGTGCCCTATCTACAGCATCATGCAAATTTAGATACAAGCACTAATGGGTATGGAAATAACAAACCTCTCTAGATCACTGTGGACCTTAAAGCTATTCATATAGCTATCTCTCTGTTTTTCCTCATGCCATAATAAGGTAATAATCATTTCTAAAAAAAAAAAAAAAAGAAAATAAAATTAAGCTACATATTTTTCTTCGAATGGCAAGACAACCACCAAAGCAAGTTTCTCCCAGGACCTGGATTTTGTCCACTAGGATTGGACAGCAATAACGATTAAGGTAGCAATAAGTTTAGAGCATTCCCTGCAAGCTAAGAGCCTAAATTTCACATGGCTTAGGTGGAATTTACTCAGCCCAGATCTTGATCCTAGGAACTAGATGGAGCTGGTAAAACAGGAGAGTCAGGTTTTGAATTGCTATGCCTGCAATGCCTGATGTGTCTTTCCCTGATCTAGCATCTTAGTGCCGCAATTTCAACAGCAAGGTTGTGTTTGCAGCTGCAACTACAACTAAACCTCTAGTGGTTGGTCATCTGAATATGCTCCACCATTATAATGACTGAGTGTCCACAGAGCAGTCTAGGAGCCTAGACACCCAGCCATGTATAGTCTTATCCTGGAGCTGAATCCAACTGGCCATGATTTAGTACCAGGTTTTCAAAGGTTTCATGCATCATGTTATTTCCCATACTGGAATTCCAGAAAGATATCAAAAGGAAATCCTGCAGTCGCTTATCCTTTGCACACATTACAGGTAACCATGCTAAGAGAACAGTCCTAATTTTCATGCCCTTGAAATAAGGATTGCTGTAACTTCCAGGCACAGCCAAATTTTAGTTGCCTGTACTTTTCTCTTAGAACTAACCAATTCCTAAAAATATAAAGACTTAGATGACAAACTCACTAGCCCTTACCACAGTATTAACTGCTTGGACTCTCAAAATAGTGTAGTGGAATAATACATGGCAGCCACACATACCGTAACTTAGTACTAACGATTAGTCAGTATTCCAGACTGTTGTCCTAGAGTATGGCGTGTGTGCATGTGTGTGTATTTATAATACCAAGAACATTCATTTTTAAAAAATTAAGCCACAGAATGTAGGCTGAGATCATAAGAGTCTGGGTTAAGGCAAAAAAAAAGTTAAAATGGAAATTCTGAACTCTCCACCATTCCAAATTCCATGCATTTTATTTTGTGTATGAAATAGCTAATTCAGTGACTGAAAAATGAGTGGAAAGATTATCTTGAAGAGGAAGACTGAATACCACTGAAGTCCTATATTTCACATTTCCTTTTGAAAACCAGCTGTAAGAAACTAATAACACCACGAACCTATTAAAAATGGCATTAACATAATGGAAAAAGTAGCAGATGCAGCTCTACCTAATGTAAAGACTTCTCTCTTTGAAAATACATACTACTAAAACTGAGGTAGAAGCTTCATTGTTAAGAATCCATTTTCAAATCACTAAGACAGATGGTCAAAATTTGAGCAGGGCCAATGGCTTGGATAGCAAGTTCCCAAACTCTTTTCCCTGTGAAGCGAACTCATATGACTAATTAGACAACTACAGTTAGGTGAGTCGAACCACAGCCATCATGTTTACCAGTTCCCCAAGGGAAACACTTCTAGTTGCAAGTTCAAGTAACTCTACTGCTAGACGGGATGTAACTTGGAGATCTCGTCAGGAAAATGCTTGGATAGGGGGATCAAAAACAAAGAAGTTCAAAACCCGAAAGAAACAAAGGTGTTTTATTAAAAATAGTGAATTCCTGAAAAATTCTGAAAAAGTTTCTGAAAAAAGTTTCTGAAAAAGTTTTCAAAAGGAACAGTCAGCCTCTGGGAATGTGATAATCTGAATCAGGGTATCAGACAAATAGCGTGTGCATGTGTGCGTGTGTGTTGGTATGTATATATACACATATTAACACACATGTATACACATGTATATGTACAGGTATATATGTACACAAAATAGAAGAAATATTGACAGAATCTAAAATTCATTCTCCTGCAAAAAAAAATCACTTCTCTCTCCTCCTGCTCCATACACATTTCGTGACTACAATCTCAGAATAGACTCTTGGAAAGGGAGAGGTAGGTTTCAACATCTTTTGCAACAGGCAGAGAAAATGCTGTACCACTTTGAGTGTGCTTTTCGTTCAGTCAAGCGTTACAAGGAGCACTGGGCTAATAGATTTGGACAGTGAAGCATTTTTATAACACCACTGTTATATAACTTCGTGATTTTGGTAGACGGTTAGCAGCAAAAGTGCTGCATTGGACCACGTGAAGTCTTCTCTCAAAATAATGTGGTATGACAGGCATTCTGGCTTGATTCGCACTGGGGAGTAGTATAGAGTATCGCACTACAGCGCAGCCATTCCCAGATTGAACTGCTGAAGTCAAAGATACTTGTAGAGTCCGGAAATGGGGAAGAAAGAAAAGAACAAATTGTTTATCCTTGGTGCTTAATAGATAATATATTATAATATACAATTTAAATTAAATGTGTGCTGGGAAGGGATTTGGGGGTTTCTTAATTTCTCCATCTCCACGGCAGTCGGCACACAGCAAACACGATACAATTAGTTGAGCATGTGGGGGCAATCATGTAGTTACACGGCAATGTTTAATTTAGTTGAGGCCAGTAATCTCTGGATGTTGATGTGCAGTGTCATGTGCTGCCTTGTAGCATTTCCACATGGGCGATCTGGTACTCCGCAGCAGTCAAATCTGCATTTGATTTCTTACCCTCTTATCTGACTCCTCAGGGATTCGAATCTGCATTTGATTTCTTACCCTCTTAGCTGACTTCTCAGGGATTCGAATCTGCATTTGATTTCTTACCCTCTTAGCTGACTTCTCAGGGATTCGAATCTGCATTTGATTTCTTACCCTCTTAGCTGACTTCTCAGGCATTCAGTAAACCAGCTGTAATTTATGACTGCAATTCTATTCGGGCTCTGACACACATGCAGTGAAGGATTAAAAAAGCGGTTACCACTTCCAGCCACCTGCCCTGCCCTTCTGACGGAGGTGGCCACTGCCACGGCAAAAACGGCTGAAAACCCACTGAAGCACCTCCTCAATGTTTCAGGCCTGTTTATTAAGGTAAAATAAACCTACTTTGAATTTAATGTTTAGCCGGAAACTGCAGCAATGCAGAAGCTGATTCCTAAATCACGGCGCCGTCTCCATCAGTGGTGCAGCAACAACTGGGGCAGCCGCCTTCGGAGCCCGCCGATTTCATTCTGCTTCAAGATCTGACTCCTCAGGGATTCGAATCTGCATTTGATTTCTTACCCTCTTAGCTGACTTCTCAGGGATTCGAATCTGCATTTGATTTCTTACCCTCTTAGCTGACTTCTCAGGCATTCAGTAAACCAGCTGTAATTTATGACTGCAATTCTATTCGGGCTCTGACACACATGCAGTGAAGGATTAAAAAAGCGGTTACCACTTCCAGCCACCTGCCCTGCCCTTCTGACGGAGGTGGCCACTGCCACGGCAAAAACGGCTGAAAACCCACTGAAGCACCTCCTCAATGTTTCAGGCCTGTTTATTAAGGTAAAATAAACCTACTTTGAATTTAATGTTTAGCCGGAAACTGCAGCAATGCAGAAGCTGATTCCTAAATCACGGCGCCGTCTCCATCAGTGGTGCAGCAACAACTGGGGCAGCCGCCTTCGGAGCCCTCCGATTTCATTCTGCTTCAAGTGAACAAACACTTGGTGCCCGTCAGCGTTTAGGAGTTAGTAAGGGCAGCCCTTCTCAAAGCAACTGTTTCACCGCGCCTGGGCTGTTTCAGATGCTTTACACACTCCTACTTTGCAGACCCTCAGCTTTCATTGGTTGCAATCTTTTTTTTTTTTTTAACTTTTTGAAAATTGGCAAATCTTTTTTCCACTCTTGGGTGTGATTTTTTCAGCAAAACCAGAATTATTATTCAGGAATTGATGGAGGACCTATTTGCATGTTATTATTATACACAGTGAACAGTCAAAGTAGTTATTGATTTTAAATGATAAACTTTTATTCTGAATATACTGTTTTTGCACAAGAATTAACACAACAGTTCTAGGATTATAAATTTTTTATAACGTTATTGTACAAATTTTTACAAAAAAATTATTTTTCCAGGCTTGTCAAGTTCCACAAAAGTGTCAAGAGAACACAATAAAAGGGAGAAAGACCTGCTTGCCTTATGAGAGCAAATCAAGCCTCTGTTGCGGGAACGCACACTGAGCATTTCAATAAAAATATCCCAGAAAGCATGATCCAGACACTCCATACGACACAAGAAGAGAGGACAGCTTTGTCAGATCACAATCGCAATTTCACGGCATCTGAACAAGACAGTATCCCTTTAGCCTCAGTGAAATTATTTCTTCAGGATGGTGTTTTTCTTTTAAACCATAAAGTACAGATGCAAGTAGCTGGGAAGAGGGTGAGGCTAACTTTTCCAAACTCTTGAATTGTTTGCAGACACTTTGTTTCAATCTTTTTACAGTAGTGTACAATGAATATTAACAATATTAACATTGTGGTATGAAGAAAAAGAAAAGTCTGGCTCTTTTTAAAGGCTTGGATGTCCAATGAAGTTAAGTAAAATTTAAACTAAGAAAGGAGTTATTAATACTCCACCTTCAGCAGACGTTCTCAAAACATCGCAGAGCTTTGCAGTGCCTTGCAGGCATTAATACGCTTCTTACAACCGGTGGGCCAGCATCTGAGTTTTCAGGACTGGCGAGACTGAGGTTGTGTTTTGCAATTAAGACATACCAAGTACGCTTTCTGAGCTTCAGTGTCAATGGGAACAAAAGGTCTCAACGTCTTTTAAATGATACCGAAAAACTCTCAACCACAGCAAGTAACACTTGGGTTGCAAAGGTCACTTAAAAGGGATACTGCCTATTTGAACCCAGTAAGGCCAGTTTTTAAGTTAGTAAAAGGAACATTATAGGAAAACTTACAAATGGCAGCAACACTGTTTTTTGTCAAGTTAAGCAGTAAAGCCTCAAGCATTAGAAACATGAAAAAGGTCATACTAAAGTCTTAAAGATACAGGACCTAAAAATCTTGTCAATCAAACCGACTATGTCATGTTAAAAACCTGTTACAAATATGGACCACGATCAGTGTTTTGGCAGTAATGCTGGTTGTTTAAATGAAAAAAATTTGAAAGAAACCTTTCATGTTAAGTCCTAAGAGCATGTTTCGTATAGTACCAGGCTGCAACAGCCTTAATGGTAGTTATTTGTCAGACCTACTAAAGGCTGCATGACTTCTGTATAAACTAAAACGGTTCAAACAGTTTATCTCTACTCCTTAACGTTTTTAAAGGATCTAAGCAAATATCAACATAGCTTATTATCTGTTTTTTTTTTTTTAAATTACAGCATATTGGAGTTTGAAAATGTCTCATTTGAAAGCCTAGGATCAAGTGTCTTCTCTAACAAACAGGAGAAGATGACTGCTATGCATTACGTGAGAGTACAAACACTCTTCGGCATAAGCATACGGATCTGCTCCCAGAAGTTATTTCTAACAGACTGGTCTTTTTGACATAGCTAATGTTCACACTGAGCTTGCTTTCTGGTGTGCTGTGTTTTTAGGTAACTAGGTAGTATATTTAAAAAAAAAAAACTTGAACTTTTAGATATCATTTGGCTACAATTGGATTAAATATAGTTTTCTGCAAACAGAAGCCAAAACTTCCATTTCTTTTCTGTGGAAAGTACTGAATTTTAGGGGCACAGTATTAAATCCTGCCGGGAGGGCCAAATCCTGAGTTTTCTGGCCTGTCAAACAGTTGGCTTCATTGGTAGAAAACTGAGTGTTTATACAGAAACATGGTTCTTCAGGTATTACAGGAGGGAGCAGGAGAGGAACAAAGAACATCTCCCTCTTTGGCTAAAACCTGGAAGGCAACACATGTGCCATGCAGGCAATTCTCCCTCCTGCATTATCTGAGCGCCCCAGGAGGACATGGGATGAATGCAAAAGCCCCAGCTGTCTTCTGGGGCAGCTCGGCTCTCGGCAAGCTTTCTTCATGCCTACAAACTCTGATCAGCTCTTCATCAAGTAACTCAGGATGGGGCTCACCGTTGTGAGCAAATTCTACCGAAATGTAAGTAATGTAACCTTTCCATGAAGGGTTTCTTTTGGGAAGCTAAGTGAAAAACTATACTATACTAACATACCAACAACCTTCCAAAGAATTAAAGGAGCAAAATCCAAACTAATAGGTAGTTTAACTAATCCTAGAGTAAGAGCTATGAGTGTAATAAGAATTGGCCTAATCCTACAAAACTTGCTCTCCCCCTAAGAATTCAACTGATGATGTTAAAGAAAAAAGTAGGATACAGCCTCAGCATTAGAAAGATTCAGACTAATTGTTTTATTAGGTGGTATGAGCAATAGGGTGAAGAGAGATATAGTAACGTGAATGGAAGGGAGAGCTCCAAGATTATCTTCACCTGTGTTATCCAAATGACCTCACTTTTCCTAAGGAAGACCTGGAGTCATCCAACACAGTCAATTACACTTTTAATCCCATGACTTTACTAGAGATATTTTTTTAAAAAGCTAAATTAGATCACTGAAAAAAAAAAAAAAGAAGACCTGTAGGGCTTTTTTTTATTGTTTTCTCTTACTGTAATCCCAAACATAAGAAAATACATAGCTGGAACCAAGGTATATGAGAAAAACAACAATCCAGTCATGGGTAGAGCTACAGTAGATACTTCATCTTTTAAGCCATGCCATGGCTTTGAGTAGCTTCTTCAGTCCTCATTGGATATTAATGCATGCCCAATTATTTCTTTAAGCTTTTGATGCGATCAAAATGATATCAACCAGCTGAATCAGTTGCCAGCATATACATACCAATGCTTTGCATTTTCTTACTTTATTTAAAGAGCTAGTGTATTGTGCCATGTTAATATTTGCGTATTGCAGTTGTTAGCAGGATTGTACAATATCAGCAGTTGCACATTCATTGGTTTAGCTGTCTTGCAATACTGTTTAGTTCTGAAAACTAGAAAAAAGCGCAAATCATATTCTGCATCAACACTATGCTACACTGTCATATTGCAATTTACTGCACCAATCTGTATCACCAATGAGGTTGTATAAAAACAACTTTTAAAATTATTATTCACAATCAAGTATCAATGTGCATACATAGAGATTCAAGGCTCCCCATTTGTTTAGATCTTGGTCTAATTTTAGCAACCAGGAAATTGGCTCTGTTAAATTTGCTATTTCCAATAATAAATAGCAAAAGAAAAATTTTTAACATTACGGATGTTTTTATATGAAGGAAACAAAGGAGGAACCTGATATGAACCTTACAGAACATATACTTTCAAAAATAAATGTGTGAAATCTGATTTTTATATACTGAAAATATCTGTACACAGGTTTTTATGTGAGAGCACTATTCTGTAAAAAATCCACCTCAACCCTTTTGCTACAACAGCTAAATTTATCCTATTTTCTTAGCTTTTTCATTGCACAGTATATTCAGAGCTTTGTTTAATAATATAATTTAATATGATTTGATTGCAACACATCATTGCAATGATCAGTTTCTCACACAACAAAAGAATCACTCAGTTAACCTTTTCAATGGACTATACTCTACCATCAAAGAAAACAAACTGAAAAACAATAACGTAGCATCATCATCATGCAAAATACCCTTGGAAACCAACGTTCAATAATCACAAAGACATTTTTTTTTTATTCACAAGCATTTTGTCTGAGCATTTGAAGGATCTGACTAGCGTTATATATAACTGCATTGTGAAGAGAAGGTGATTATTACACTGAAATTAACATTTTTCTGACAGATGATATAAAGTTCAAGAAAAAAAATCACTTTTCAGTTAAGCTCTCAAGCACCTTTATATTTC